GCCACTTAGAATTTAATTCTAGAATTAATCTTAAAGTACTCTGGATAGCCTAAGAAGTGCTTTCAACGTAATTGTATTTAAGAGGGTCGTTGGATGCCTCTGATAACGAAACCCAATCACATTTATAATCGGACTAACAAAGATACCCATCGCACATCGTACATGGCTGCGTAAACTGGCTCCCAAAGAAGCCCACTCATGAAAATCGATACCCATGCCAGTCACTGTATAAACAGGCTAATAGCGATGCCCGGTCACTCTTAAATCGAGATCGCGAAGCCCCCACCGCTAACCTCCATGTGGCTCACAAGGATTCGTTGCCGTCTTTTGGATAATTAGCACATAAATTAAAAAGGCGTTAACTCCTCACATGCTGAACTCACTATCGATATATTATTTTGGAAAAATAAAACCAGGTCACCCAGCGCGTAAGCTCCCCTCGGCAAAGATAATCCCAAAAGATTCTTGAACAAAGTGGCAATTGCCACTTTGTTCAAGAATCGTTTGGGATTATCTTTGCCGAGGGGGCTTACGCGCCGGGTGACCGGGTTTTATTTGTCCAAAATAATATATGACGCAAACAAAAAATAAAGCGAAAGCAAACTGAAAATTATAAAGCAAACCACATCACAAAGGCGGTAGTACATTCTCCTGAGTCGTAACAAACACGGGCGAGACTTAGAATGCTGACCCGCAGAAACGGAGAAAAATATATAACAACTCACCCTGTAATAGGCAATGAATACTCTCCTCAAACAGAAAACTGAAGTTTTCACAAATAGCACCAAAAATGTACGAAAGAAAAAAACCGTCACTTCTCCTTGGCGTAGAAGTGGAGTTCGAAGGCCTAACACGTAGCTTACAGCATTTTGTGTTAATTCCGGCAAAGACAGCCGCACCTGACTGAGCTCCATTGCCAAAATCTTGTACTGACTGCGGTTTCAAAGGAAGCGCGGCCTGCTGCAACGCATCCGACAAAACGGCAGCAGGCCGTGACAGAGCAGAACCTTATTTACTCGCGTTTAATGAAACTCTTTGCGAAATGACAACTGTGCATAATTACATATTATACAGGCTTAAACAATGCCTAATACGTCTCGCACGGGATAATGAACACAAGCACTTTTTTATGCACGCACAGTAATTTAAATATATCTCTTCTCCGCGCGTCACAATACAGCATCATTTTGGGCGGTACATAATTCCATCAGCAATATAGTTAGACTACGAGTAGTCCCCATTTTTGCTCAGGAATAGCAGAGCGAGCGAAAAGTGAGCGCGAGTAAAAATCATCTCACGCCAGCAGACTGGGCTAGGCGAGACGCGGCGGTGAGTACGTCTCGTCTTTCTTGCGTGGTTTGATTTCACTCTCGCTCGAGTTTTGCTCGCTCTACTATCCCTGGGGAAAATGGGGACTACTCGTAGTCTACAATAAACATGCATTGGAATCCAGAAAAACCGAGGTACCTGGGGTCTGCCTGGAGAAGCTGCCTGCCTTGGAGAAAGGTATTCGTAAGTAACAGGGGTTTGTTATCCTAAACATATCACTGTAAGCACGGCGAAGTTTGCACTCGGCCTCGTTATACCGCCGCGGTGTTCCTTTTATAATGGGGTTGTCATCATCTTTTTTTACAACGAGGAATAAGTAAACAGCTACTGGAAATCGTTAAAAGGAAAAAAAATAGACGCGTTTTATCAATAAGTGTACTTTTTTGACCGCGCTCTTTGAGACAACTCGTGATATTACTACTAGTTGCTTGACGACTCTGATTCAAAAGATCTCAAAGTGTTACAGAGAACCACAAAATAATAAACTTTGACGACAATTGGTGGCTCTGGTTACGAAATATGGTGTCAAAAGTGACGGTTACTTAAGAAGAGGGGTCGACGATGCATGAACACTAGTGTGACTGGGCTGAACGTGACTAATGGATAGAGTTGAAGATAAGATGACAGGGTTGCTGAACGGTTGCTGGAGGAATAAAGGATTTCCGTCTTTCGTACACAAAACTTTTTCAAGGAATATGGTCATAGTAATGTTTGCAAGGTGATATCAAATTAAAACAGCATTTAAATGAGATTTAAATTAAACTCGCACCTTTCTTTTACTGTTCTCAAGTCGTCGATTTTCTAAAAGTAACAAGTAATTCTTCTTGGCACGAAATTACGTTCTGCTAAAAGTTATAGCATTTATACAGTGTTAATCTGAAGCAATTTTAATTTTAAATTAAAATTAAGTTCCAATTGTTCCACCATAGCGATTATTTTTACGGTATATTTATTGACTTCCTTAGTTCAACCTTATTATGCTGTGTCATTTGCTCATTATTCATACTTTCGTAAGATTGTAGAATGCATGAGTTTTAATAAACCAGCCCCACCCCTTCACAATTCTCTCTCCTCTCCCATTAACTTTTTTGTGACGTGCTCAGGTTTACTGGGATCAAAGTTTTAAGGAAGGCCAATATATGTGCTATGTCATGACTTGACATAATAGAAACTAAAAGAGGATTAGACAGGCCCCCAATTCTCTCTTTTAAAAAACTCGAGGGCTCAGAGGCCCGATTAAACAATAATTGAAGCAATGCAAGCTGCCTGGTTTCCTTTAGTCAAGAGCCGAATTTTCGGTGCCAGCGTTCAGTAACTGATTAGTCAGATGATCTTACGAGTCAAAATCGGTTAAAATGTACGATACAAAAGAAAACGTGGAGACAAAGAGTGAAGATTAAAGACTAAAGCAAAAATCGGGAAACGTGTGATTACCTCGGTAAACAGGCAATTCGTACAGCGCGGGTGGCTTTGATGTCATTAGGGATGACCTTCTCCTTTACTCCTTTACTCCTTATTGTAGAAACACAATTATGAAAATATACTGGGATTACATTCGGAAGTATATTGTGCTAACAAAGGGACATATTAGAATTTTCGAAAAGAAAAATGAATCAGAGCGTACTGACAAAGATTGAATCAAGTCACGCCAGCGTCCTTAGCAGGAATTTCAACATTTTCTCTTAGAATAACGGCGTGAACTTCAATTCATTCAAATTATGACACTGCCCCCACCCAAGGGTGGTAAAATATATTTGGTTTTTTAAACCGTTTTTTTTAATCAGAAAAAAATGAATGAAAGCGTACTGTAAGCAAATTCTGCGTTGAAAGCGCTGGGTAGATGAAGTGGGGACGGAATAGGAGGTAGCTAGGTACGTTAACCCTATTCAGACTGGGCTTAATTGGTCAATCTGTGACTGGGGGGGGGCTCCTCGGACACCCCCTCTGTATCTCTGGAACCAATAATGCTAGGGTCATGAAATTTACACACAATGATCATCTCCGTACAAAAAAGCCCCACACCCAGTTTTGACTTGCCACGCTCAATGATGACGTCACAGTGACATCACATTCCGATTATTCAATGTTTCTTATTATTTTTCCACTTAGATACGTATACGTGTCAATAATATTGGTAAAGTCATCTCTTTGTTATCCTTTCTTATGAACTAGTAACAAGGAAACACTTGTACAGCGAGAAAAAGCAATAGGAAGCAATAAAATTTAAAATTTGAAATGGTTGTCCGCCATCTTGTATCCGCCATCTTGGATTTCCGTTTTTTTGTTAAAATTATAATTTAAAGCAACTTTCAAAGGGGAAAAAGCTCAGAATGTATAAAAGAAGTATCAAACTAATGTTTATTACCCAAACAAATGACTTTGGAAGTGTTATTTGGAAAATAGAGCAGCATATTTGTCAAAGCAAAAAAGTGACAAATTTTACCCCACCCCTCCCCCCAAATATTCGATGTTGAAACATTTTGATGTAATTCAAAAACTAGTCCATTTTAGAAGACCATTTTAACAACGAAAAGCACTATAAGTGTAAAACGCGATCTTAAAAAAAAAAAATCACCATTTTTAAATTTTCCAAAACCTATGTGTCAGAAACTGGTTGCCATGGCAACATGATTAATCACATGGACATGGTTATTATGCCAAAATGTTCCTAGATAAATTTTAGGAAAAGTCAGAAAATTTGAACGTCATAACGCTTTCGGTGTAGGAGTTATCACGATTTTGCCGGAGGGGGTTCGAAAAGCCCCCCAGTCTGAATAGGGTTAAAGTGACCTTTTTAGTGTTGGAACCGCCACTTGTGCGATCTAATCTCGCCATAGGCAGGATTTCTTGTTAGGTATCACTTTAAAAGAAGTGAATTCGAAGAACTCGAATGGTCCAGCATGCATTTTCATCCAAATTCAAACTATTCAGTTTTGGAGAAACAATTTTCTTTATTAGCTTCCTAGTACTTCTTTGTTGGTCTCAATCAGACATCACAAATATCAAACCCTATTTAAAAGTTTAAAAGCTGTGGGAAGCTTAATTCGTTAAAAGGATTAAACGCTATAATCTTGTCTTAGCTTCCAACACTAACACACTGAGAAACAAAGGGGAAAAAAACTGACACATGGAATCGTAGTGGTAATGCATTTCTTAAACATTCACTTTGTATGGCTATGGAATGGCAGTGATTGAACTTATTTTTACTTCTTCTTGATGATCAAGATTTTCTGTGCACATTTTGAGAAAAGGGAATAAACCGTCAATGACATTTGCAATTTCAGACACAAAAGAAGATGAGCAACTCTTGACACTTTACTAGCAAAGAAAAATAGTACATCACGGGAACGTTGAATTAAAGCGAAAACTTACAGTGAAACATTTAATATGCAGTTGGAGACGTTGTCTATAGAGGAAAAGGGGAGGGTAAAGGAATAAGGTAAGTATATGCAAAAATTCCCGTTATTTTTTTGGGACAGATACTTAGTATGATGTATAAGTGAAGGGAAGCTGTTTATTCAAAGCGTCAGGATTAAACCATTAAGGGGCAGAACAGTGAGAGGGGGAGAAATACTTGGAGGGAAAAGGGACCTGAGGGAGTTCGCGTAAGTTCTACCTTTTTTCTTTCTTTTTATTCGCATGAGAGGAAGCATTTCCTCAGTTAAGCCAAG